ACATTCTTAATAACATCACAATTATCAACACTACATCCATCATATTGCATACCTATTAAAATTATTTCTCAAAATATATTTGAATTATCTTATTCAATTAAAGTCTAAATAAGTGTGCCGTTGTTACCATTAGAACGTTTCAACGGGACGGAAATAGTATTATTAATAGAAACAAAACACAATATGAGTAACATGTTTTACACTTTTACCTCTTTACAAATTACACCGTAGTCCGTAGGAATTAGTTGGGGAAGTGAGGGTGTTTGGCAAATGATGTTTCAGTGAAAAAACATATTTTTGATCGCTTTTACCACTTTCAATAAGTGTAAGTGAAAATATTGTTTGGTAAATAGTTCTTTAATCCTAGCGTTTATAGGCCGAACCGTTGAAATAGAAACACTACACATAGAAAAGTTTTGAGTAACATTTTGAAATATGACGTTTTCAACTAATTGTTATGGCCAAAAAACTAAATGGTCAAATACGGAGTATTTTTTTGGAATCCACAAACTTATTGCGCTTGTCAAATCTGATGGCTGAATCCGCTATTCGTTAAATTAACTTCCACAGTACGTTTGGCACGAGGATTAAAATAATTTGTCTCGTTTCTATTATTATTATCATCGATTGACTATATATTTATTGTTTTTGTTCAACAAAACATTACACTCCAGCTTATTTAGATGATTCGTAAATCGTAATGAATTGATTAATGATTAAATTCAAAACATTATACCAAGTTAGCTGTACATGGAGATTATTGTCATTAATTTGTATATATGTATATGCAGGTACAATTACGATATTGTGAAGGATGTGCCATTAGAAGGGCGCTTTGTGTGGGTTCGCTTAAATCCTTAAAGATACTCCATTCTATACCTATGAACGTTCATGTTCGGCGCTGAAAATGCTTTGCATTTGCACGAATAACACGACCCAGACATTTTACTAATTATAAATATGAGTATTAATTCACTAAATAATACTTTAATACTTAGTATATCTTATTACGCTAATGTTATTTGTACACGACACTTGTACTGTTGTACACACCATTGTACACGTCGATCAAATTGTCTTTGTACATCCAATTTGACCAGAGTTTTGTAAAGAAAAAAACGGGTTTCTTCACAAAACGTCGGTCATTTTGTCTGACAATTTGACCGGCGTGTAAAATGACGTGTACAGGTGCCATGCACACGAAAGAAAACTGAAATAGATACATGGAATAGCACTTGTTTGTTCTGTTGCATATATAGATGCATTCTATTCGATCAAACTGTTTTTGTCTCGGATTCCTGCATTAAATTTCTTAGTCTAATGCTTTGGGGCTTTGGGCTTAGATTTGGCTTTGATACTCAATTTGCGCCTATATGGGCGTGCCAAACTGGTTACTTGGATATTGGGATTATTGGCTGCCCAACTTGGATAATCTTATTTGGCCCAAAACCTCTGTGTAAATACAAATCCGAGCCAATTTTCCCAACGTCCTGGTAAGATGAGAGATTCAAAGTATCTTACATTCATCTATTATACTACATTCCTTCTTAAATAAATGCAACAGTCAACATTTCACATTTGCTGAGTCACAACTTTGACTATTAATATATACCGAGTATAATTCTCTATTAGTAAAAAATTAAAAAAATGAGATTTTGAAAATTTATAATGAGACAAAGTTAGTAATATTTTTTTCAAAAAATAAGTTGATATATTAATAAATAAAATGTAGTCAAAGTAGAACATGTGAATATTGTAAAATTTGCAATGTTGCACTTATTTAAGAACTGAGGCAAGTACCATTTTTACCGTGTAAAATGCACTTTTCAATTACATATATATAAGTGACACCACTAGAAAACATGTTACAAAGAGGTCAAACATGTTCAATCACACTCAATTACAAAGAGGTCAAACATGCTCAATTACACTCAATTACAAAGAGGTCATTTGTAGTGAACCAAATTGGTCGAATGTATATCATAAAAACTGGTCAAACGTCATCATTCACAGTCAATAAAGAGGTCAAACAAGCTCAAATATTTACAAAATAAGGTACAACTATGGTACTCATTGAAAGAGTAGGATATTGTACCCATCATTCACTTGATTGGTCTAAATTATTATATCATTTTTAGTGTAATTTCTCCAGCATCCTGATTAGTTCATACAAACAAAAGTATGGTACCTAGAGATACAATAGAAACCTCCATTATTTTTTCTTAATGTCCATTATAACATGACAATAACAACTCTAGGTGGGCATGGTGCAACAGATAAGGGGTGTTAATGGGAGAGGAAACACACGGTAAGTGGCGAAAATTTCTAAAGACACCTTATATATGTTCTCATTTAACCAGATACTATAAGTACATTTGAAGTTTCTGTCAAAATTTGAAGTTTCTTGTCAAAATCATATACTTTCACTCCAACTTTTGAGTTTCAAGTTTACTCTAATTTTTATGTAATTGATTTTTTTAACAATTGTTACTATATCTGTTTTTAATTTGTCCTTATGCGGTTGTTAGGAAGATAAAGAGTATAATGGCACTAGAGTAGAAAATATAGAAAAGTTAATTAATAAAGCTAGCTAATAGTGTAGAAAATCAAAAAGTATGACTGATAACATGCATAATAGAAAACGGAATATACTACGGAGTAGTATACACTATACAATTTGAAAATTTAAACAAAGCGAATGACAATTATTGGTGGAATGTGAAACAAATACGGAGTAATATAAAACATTACAAAAGTAAACGTGTATAAATAATACGGAGTAAATAAAAAGTACACCTAGAGATTGAGTGGTAGATTCAGATCGATTGCATCAACTGATAGAATCCATATAGACAAAGAAAGAAACAAGATTAGCTTGGTTTGTGATAGGGGCGGAGCCAATGGGGGTCAGGGTGGTCAGCCGATCTGGCTGATGAAGGCTTGAGCGTATAGAGCTTTGAAATATTTTCGATTTGATATATTATGACCCCCGTAACTCATTACGAGCGAGTAAAAGGTTATGACTTCTGGAAAATCAGCACTATCTAAACGTAAAATCAGCAAAATTTGATGCATAATATTGGTTATTTTCCCAAATTTTATAAATAACATATAATTAACTCATTACTTAAGTGACATGATTCACAAACAGAGCAAAGATAATCTATCTTATTGCTTACGAATGTCTGTTTATCTAAACTACAAATGAAGCATTTAACTCGGAGATTGTCTAAAAACGATCTACCATTTTCATTTTGTACATAGTTGATTTTCGACCCCCTAACCTGTTTTAATTTTCTCGCTCCGCCACTGGTTTGTGATACACTTCCTAAATATTAGGTTAAGTTACTCAAGAGGGACTAAAAGTCTAAAAGCATACATTTTCCATAAACATTACTCGAGTACGGAGTATAATGTATGGATAAAAATCTCATTAAAATTACATAAGCATATTGTCAGGATTACCACATTGTAAAATTAATCATCTTCATGATGACAAAATTACTGCTTCAAAAAGTAATTTTGAGGAGGGCGCTATGCCGGACTAGGCAGGTAAAAGAATGTCTTTGGAAAAAAATTAATGGAACTTTTTACTTTAAAAATTAAGATTTTTTTTTTAAATTTGGAGTGAGCGAATGTCCAAGTTTCCCACTCTAGCTCCGCTCCTGATACGGAGTATATTCTACTATTTTATTTTACTCATATATTTTATATTAGTAAATACTACATTGGCCCCCTAATATTGATACAAGAGGAGGTAGTGTGATTACCGATAAAAGTGATTTTATGTGGTTGATATTGAATTGATAAAGTGAGAATAAAGTAAGAACAATTTAGAATAACACAAATGTTACCAAATTTGGTATCAGGCGACTTAGTGGATAGACCGAAATGAAAAGTTGAGAAAATCTTAACAGAATAGAAATTATCTTTTAGTAGCAAAGTTAGAAAAGCTGGAATTTATGAAATTTATATTAAGGAGGTTTCAAATTTATATTAGACTTTATATATAGTTGTCATCAATGTATATTATACATACTAGAGAATTTTTGGGAGTGCAACCCACTCTTGCTCGTTCTCACTCGACTAAAGCTTATAAAGTTCACACTTGAACAAGGTTGTATAATCAATATTGAGACAAGAGATCCGTTGAAGAAATGATGACTTCACACCAGATTAGTGAGCAGCAATTACTAACATTTTTATTTTCTCTTAAAGTGGAATCTCCCACCCCAGAGCCCCCACACCCTGACCCGACAAGATGGTGAAAGAGTAAATCACGGTGGCTCAGTTAGCAAAGTGGCAGTAGGCCCATATACCCGTGCGCGCCAGAGGTCCAGCCCATTTCAGAGGTTCTGTAACCCTCACACGGTTGCTGCGGGATTCGAACCTTGATCCCTTGATCTAAATTTCCCACCATTCGACCAACTCAGCTACTCGTGTGGGTAACATTTCTATTTTTTCATCACACATTATTCCATTTACAAGTTTCTAAGATTTGACGGGTATCCCTTGCAAAAAAAAAAAGAATGACGGGAATCTAGGAAAGGTTCATCACTTGGGCTGAAACTTTTAGTCTCATATGGTCTAGTTTTTTTTCTCAAATTTGATTTGGTCATTTGGTCATTTTCAAACTTTCAGTCTAATCCGATCGAATCTGACTTAGTGTGATCTGATCTATTTAAGATCAGTCTAATCTGACATATGATTGAAATCAGATTCAAGTAAAAACATCTTTACCTTGAGATGAATAATAAGATGCATTAGGTAAGGTGTATTTTGATCAACCTCAGCTTCAAATTGCAAGAACTTTTAAATTTTGAGTGCGTGAAAAACTTCATTCTTCGTTTTCATATACATATGCATTCTTTAAAATTTAACCGATTAAATATTTTTTGCCTAGCTTTTAAATTTTGATCATTGCCTTTCATTAATATTTTTTGATCAATGTGTATAAAAGTGTTTATTACTCAAAAATTTAACATATTTGATCAAAAAATCAAAATTGGCAAACCTTTTAAAGAGGGGGTAAATGGTTTGGTTAATAACCAAACACACGAAAGAACATTTGCACTTAATTGAAGATGACAACTACTGTACTGAGACACATATAAGATTGTGATTTTCTTCTTCAGAATGGCAATTCTTGCATGAAAGAATCACACATTTCTGTATCATGACTTCGTCCCACTATACTTAAGGTCTCATCTCTTATATCTCCTTCATGATTAGGGCGCATTTTTATATCTCCTTTCAATGATTTGTTCTTAGCCTGTCAATTGGTTTCCAGAAACCCTGTAACAAAAAGATTGAGTAAGTTAAGTTTCAATGACAAATGATGGACATTGTTCTCATTTATACAATGGATTCGCATACTCAAGGTTTATGTTCTTGTTGTTCTTCATGCTCTCGGGGATTTCGCCGCTCAAATTGTTGTTTTGGAGAAATCTGTTAGAATGAAATGGAAACATCAATTTTTATGTAAACTTTTTTCTATTCATCAGATTAAAGAATCTCACATTTCGCTAATCTTCGGTAGTTGACCAAGATAATCAGGGATCGGCCCGACGAACTGATTGTTCTCTAAACGCCTTTTTCACATGAAAAACATACCCAATGAAATAATGAATAAGTGAGTTTTTTTATCAAACAACCATGATGGTTTAGAACATGAATTAGTCTAGTGAATAAAAGTTAATTAAGGGAATAGGCTTAAGTAACTTACAAAGATTGTAGGGCCTTAAGTTGGCTCATATCAGGCAATGCACCAGAGATTTTATTGTCTCCAAGCCAACTATTTACCAATCATTATCAATTATTAATTTAGTCCACGAAACAAATTATATTAGATCATAATAGAATTAAACCAAATAAAGTAAAACATATCATGCCTTACCAAATGTCGATAATAATAAAATAGATATAATATCGAATGATAAATCTTAATGCTAGACTAGCATTAAATATAACATATTAGACATGATCTAGTAGTGTACTTAAACATATCATGTGAATTAAGACTAGGCCAATGTAGACCAGTCCAAAACATCAAGTGTGAGTCTAAAGAGTTTTTATGTCAGCCAAGTATTCTCAAACATTCAAAATGATTCATTACTTACATATAAGACAATGCAGTCAATTTGGATATGCTTGGAGATAGTGTTCCACTTAGTCCAAAACCAGTCAAGTTCCTTCATGACATTTAACACAATGAAATTTATAAATACATATTTACATAATAATCAAACAACTAATCTCCATGAAACAGAGTTTTCGTGATTACTCACAAGGAGATTACTCGAAAAGATTTCCCCTTACTACACGTGATTCCTGTCCATCCATTTTCTTTTGGTTGGCATGGATCCCCATTCCAATCCTCAGGAGTATTCTTCAAGCTCTTCTGCAAATCCTCCAATGCTGCCACTGTATGTTTAAAATGATATGTCACAAACCAACAGTTTTTCTTAGGTTCTCTCCAAGAAAATGATCTCTGTATCATATATAAATTGCTTTTACCATCCCGAGTGAGGGTCTTTCCTCCTAGTGGCAACAGTTGAAAGATTTCACCGGCATTGATCACAGGACCAACAGGAACACCTGTAAACCATTCCACATTGTACTAATATAAGAATACAAACTAAAAAATATAAAACATCTTGTACTCATTCTTATCACAATCATAGTATATTAGGTTGAAAGTAGCAATTTGCTCTAAATAAACATATGGTGGGTATTAATCATTTTTTATACATGTAAAGTAACTTGTCACAATGCCCATTGGGCATGAAACTTGTGGTAATTAAAGAACATGTAAAGTATATCCCTATATCAACATTAGTTTCAAATGTCTTGTCATGAGAAAGAGTGGTAAAGTATTTTCCTTAATAGTAAAATAAAAAGTAATAAAATGATATATTGAGATCTAGACTAGTCCTTTTAAAAAACGTATAGGATGGAATCCCGAATATTATAATATAAGACATTGGAAATTGAAAGTTGAAACAAAGTTCTTAAAAATACCTTCATTCGGGACCAAGGAAATCTCGGTCTGGCCTGAGAGAGGCCATGTTGCAGAATAAGCAGTGACACCATCTGTAGTGACATTCAGTTTGGTGTAGAATGTTTTTCCATTCAATTGGACATCAAATGTCCTCCAACTGTAAGGACTCGGGGTACGATTATCCTGGAAGTACAGGGCAATGTAGTAATAGGTATTTGGGAGAGGAAACGGCGGCCAATGGACCGTCAGAGTCTTCCCTCTGCTAGTAGTTACTGCCGTTGAGAATACTTCCTTTGGCGGGACGTTCCAAAATGTCTCGGGTGTTACATGGGAGTGACTCAATACAGATGGGTTCTGGTCCATGAATGGATGCCAATATCTGTTATATGGATCATCTGGGAACCCTATCATATCCACATCCGACCCGAAGTTGTGTCGGGCAAGCCCGACCAAACCAAATCTCTGGAAATCAGTTGTGTTGTAAAGGGCATCTTCAAGGTAAAAAAGCTCAATGGTGGAAATGAATGGGCTGCTCGAATTCGATGTGTGTTCATTCCTAGCCAAACATATGCTCAAATCCATCCCATGAGCCATAACAATAGCCTCATAATAAGAGCTCATACCTTGCGCGTAGTCCCCACGTGTGTCTATCACAAACCATTTCGTCCCGTCAATGATCTGGTCAAACACCGGCGGCTCTTCCCCTCCGTCAAACCCGCCGTAGTAATAAACCGTCTTGACCAACAATTTCTTCCCCTTTATCACGGGCAGCGTGTAACATGATTTCTTCGCCTTGTGTCCAGGGAAGTAACGGACGGTGGTCAACGTGGGCAGTATGTGGGGCACCTTCACGACGGATTTGTTGCCCGTAGATATGAAGGGTTCGTCCGGGATGTATGCGAGAGACCTTTGTTCCACCTCCTCATTTCCGCCACAATTTAAGAGGAAACCTGGAGGGGCTTGAATTAGGCAAATTAAAATATATCACAAAGAAGAAATGCTCAGGTATTAATTATCAATCTTCTATCTAATCATAATGATGAAATGCTTGTTATTAATAGTTACCTTTGGGGACGTCTGGAGTCCGGGCAAGGGTTATTAAGGGAATGTTAATGAGGCAGAAGAGGAAGATGGAAGTGGCCATCTTTCATTTGTGAATTATCGAGAAAAAGAACATATGCAGGAGAGAGGTGCATGTTTGATGTCCACGGGAAATGTATATGCCAAAGGTTGTCCATGAATTCAGGATGATTTTCTTGAATGAAACTTACAAACCGGGCAATATAATGTTTTAGTAGTGAGAATAATAATAATAATAATAATAATAATAATAATAATAATAATAATAATATAATAATAATAATAATAATAATAATAATAATAACAATAACTATAACAACAACAATATATGATGATGATGATGATGATGATAATAATAATAATAATAATAATAATTAGTATTATAACAATAATAGTCGGCTATGCTAGAATAGTCTTTTATAAAAAAAAAATAAGTGGACGGGTAGGCGCTTCTGCCTAGGTTTAAAGGCGGCGATTTTTTTTTCATCCGCATGTTTTTGTGCGCAGTCCTTCGGCGATCAAAGCGGTAGCGCAAGGCTTAGACCAAGTTTTATTCCAGTCGACAACACTATTAAGCAAGGGCATAGACATGGAAGGTAATCAGCACGACGAGATAGAGGTTTCGACCCAAGCTTACAAAAGGATGGAGATGGAGGATGAATAAAAAGTGTTCTTTGATAATCTATATCAGAACTGTGATCAGTCGGTCTTGGAGGAGGAAGGTGAAATGTTATTGGTTCGTCCCCCTCTTGAACCGCCACCATAGAATGACAAAGAATTTAGGGTTTGGACGAAGACGGGTCAACTTTGCTTTACATTATCTAGTTTTATCTGTATTAATTTTAGATTTTTAGTCTAGTACTCTGTTTTTGTTTCTTTTGTTGCATCTGAGGTCAAACACTATAAATTCTATTTTGTGGTTTTAATTTTTAGTTTGAGTGGAAGCAACCAGGCTAGTTTGGCCGATAATAGCTTCGAATGACTCACATGTTCAACGATTAGTCTTTCCCATTATTGGGCAGTCTATTCTATGCCTAATCGGAGAGTGAGAGGGCTTGTTGTCTATAGGGGTGTAGAGGAAATGTTTGGGTAATCAGAATGTTGGATGTTTGTTGTTTGATTTTCGAGTTTAATATAAGTGTTTCCAGTAAAAAACAATAATAGTTGTAAATATTAATTAGTTAAGGTATAAATATTGCTCAATGTGTTCCAAGAGTATTGTTCTGAAATTGCTCTAGGCGCCCGACTAGTCCCCGTCTAGGCGTTAAGCGATGGCCGGGCGCCCCGATAATAGTCTAGGCGCTCCGACTAATTGATTTGGCGCCTAGGTGAATTAGTTTTCCGCCTAGGGCGCCTATTTTCCAGCACATAGCGCTTGATCGGCCGCCTAGGCGTCTAGATTCTTCGAATATTTTCTTTTTCTTTTTTGTTTCAGTATTCTAAGAGGTATATGTGCCTTTAACGACACATATGAAGAAAGCTACTAGTTGTAGATCAAGATAAAAAATTATACATGTTTATGTATAATTTTAAGTGTTAGTATTATTTAATAATATTTATTACATAATGAAGTTATGTGAGTGTCTAATGTATTATTAAATGTGACAACTCTACCATTCATGCATGTTAATGTGTATGTGTGTGTTTATTTTTTTATACACACAAACACAACATTACTAATCATATTTATGCAAAAATATTGATAAAACTATAATTTGTATGTCTCCGACTAGTCTCCGTCTAGCCGCCTAGGCGCTAGGCCCTGGGTTGGCACCCGACTAGCACATAGCGCCTTTTAGAACATTGATTTTAATCAAAGGTTTCCACATTTGTTTTTAGACGCCACATTTAAAAGCTCTCATTTCTATTTTAAGAAACAATCAACACTATTAAATGACAATATAATCATCAAATATTAAAAATAATACATCTATAAAATCACACTTATCATCAATGACCCTATTATATTATAATAATTCATCTATAACATCACAGTTATCATCAAAACTATTTCTCAAAATATACTTGAATTACCTTATTTTACTAGTCTAAATAATTGTGTAATTTTGCAATTGGAACATTTAACTGTGAAGTTTGTACTTCGTATACTTTGTAATTTCTGGTTGGTACCATATATTTGGGATACTATTCTGACAAAATGTGGTTGGGTTTATGAATGAAATTACGTAGGAATATAGATTTTGTCAGTGGAAATAGATTTGTTTTTTGTAAAAATTTATAAACTATTATAGTGTTTGGTCTATGATAAGGCCAACATCCTTGAACTAGGATGAGATTCAAATTTGTGATCTCCTCCTTAAAAATGTATGTCATCAGATCACAAGGATACTTCACTATCAATAAAAGTAGATGAATTAAATAATTATACAAATCTCATTTTATTTTATCACCATTACATCAACCAATAATGATTTAAAATCCATTTTGTTGAATATAAACACTTGTATGATATTACATTTTAAAATAGTTGTTGGAGACAAAAAAAATGACCAAATGCAATTCACACCAATTGTAATTACTTTTTCTTGTAATTTTGTTACAGCGCTGAGCATGGGATTTGTGATTATATTTCGAATTAAAAAATTATTCCTTCCGCTCTTTAACACTTTGTCAAGTTTGACTGACACGGAAAATAATAATAATAAAGTAAAAATTGTGAGATTGATGACAAAGGTTTAAGAGACAAATTAATTAATAAAAAGAGAGTAGAAACGTTTTTTGGGAAAGTCATAGATGAAAGATGACAAAGGTTTAAGAAACAAAGATTGAGAGTGTATTTTTAGTGCGTATGAGTTCTTTTATGAAATTCAACAACGACCACCGCCAAGGTCATGAGTAATATTGTCCAGTAAAGTGAGCAGTGACCAAATCAATGCCTGCATTGTATGAATAATCTGGATCCTCTCCGCTGACCGGAGAGTTCCATTTGGAGAGAGGTAGAGAGAAGAAAATAAAAGGTAGGGTAGGTTGGAAAATATCTCTGTTAGTAAACAGACCCTAATAGTTTTAAGTGACGCTAGAGCTCCATGCCTTAGCGACATATGTTAGAGTAATAGGGAACACAAGACATAATAAGAATTGAAGATCACATAAAATAATCAATTTTTAAATTTTCGTGACTAGATAAAACCGCATTGGCTTTTAATATAGGACAATTCTCTTTGTACACGGTTATGTTTACATGCCGGGTTACATGCCGGTCAATTTGACTGGCTACACGGACAATTTGACCGGCATTTTATGAAGAAAACCGATTTTCACACAGGCAAAAATAAAAAAATTGTATGTATCACAGACATTTAAAATAAAAAATTGTATGTATCACAGACATTTAAAATTCTCGTTTAACATTATATGAAAAATTCTTCTCATCTAAAATGTCTTTGATACAGACAGCTCTTTATTTTTGTTTGTGTGGAAATTGATTTTTTCATAAAACGCCGGTCAAATTGTCTGTGTAGCCAGTCAAATTGTCTGTGTAGCCAGTCAAATTGTCTGTACACGAAGCGAGACTCATTAATATATGTATGTATTGCCCGTTGTGAGGATAAAGAAAAGATATGAAACTTTTAGGAAGAAAAAACAAAAAAAATATAAATAGGATCATGTTGTTGTATTTATACAGGATGAGATTTATGGTTTAATGATTTACAAAGAAAAAGAAAAAACAGAGAATAACATATCATCAACAGATGAAGGACCAACGACTAGGCCTGCACAAAACAGGGCCGGCCCGCCCAGCCCACTCATCCGGCCCGCACAAATGGGCGGGCTTGGGCATATATATTTACCCACCGTCCCGCAATAACATATGGGCAGGCTTGGGTTAGAGTGTCGGCCCGTTCGGGCCGATAAGCCCTGACCCGCTACATTTAGTATACATACATACATGTGTGTGTGTACTAATTTATTTATTTATTTACATGTACACATGTTTATTTATATTTACTAATTTATCTTTATACATATTTATAGCTTATTATGTTTAAATTTAAGTTTTTAGTTCTTAACAACTAGTCTAACTAATATAGTATCTATTTTTGTACTTAAAGATAATACTTTGTGCTTGAATTTTGAATTTTAGATATAGTTTCTCATTATTATTTTTGTGCAAGTATTGTTTTTGTATGTGGTGAAAGGCCTGTAAACATTATAAGTGTATTAGCAATTTTTAAAAATGTTGTAATATTATTTTTAAAGTATTAAAAATTATATAATTTTGAAAAATTTAAAGTTTTTCCGGGCCGGGCAGCCTGGTGGACTACCCGGTCCACTCTTACGGGCGGGTATGGACATGGGGTTAGGCCTGTTTTTGTGCAGGTCTACCAACGACAGAAGATGGGCCTAAAGGTGGGGTGATTATTAGGGTCTGACCGCAAGCGGGCTGACCGGCCCGTGAACCGGCCCGACCCAATACCGTTTCGGCCCAGCCCAACGATCGGGTGTTGGACCGGTCCGGATGGACCGCATTGGCGGTTAGTCATAGCGGGCTCGGGTTAGGCAAAAATGGAACTGGCCCAGTCCGGGCCTTTTTTTTCAATTTTTTTTTGTTTTTCTCGGGTCGGGCTGGGTGTTTTGGGGGGGGGGGGGGTTGGGGGTGGGGGGGGGGGAGGGTTGGGGGTTAAGTAGAAAAAAAATTGAACCTGAACCGCTGGCTACCCGAGCCGGTTCCGAGCCTCACTTCCCCCCAAAAGGCCCGGTCAGGCCCGGCCCAGTAACCGGACCGGATCGGAATCTGTCCACCCCTAGTTATATATTATGAGATCGATTACTGTTAGATGAGACTATTCTAGCTAAGAAGACCGGTAAAAAATCAGATTCTTACTTTTCATTTCCTCCCTTTTAGTCAATCAATTGGTGATTGCTGATATTTCTCTCTTCTACACAAATCACAACCATATAACTTTTACTTTATTATTATCTTTGTCGTTCAAACTTGGCAAATGCTTGAAGGAATGAAGCACTATGGTATGTTTTATACATATACAAGAATATATGTTGCCGCCCCCGTTTAACCTGGTTGATTTGAGTTATATTTACTGTATTATTAGATAACTCCATAAATGTTCAAACGTGAATGTTGTAGAAGTTGCAATAAAGAAACATTTATGCTTTGAAAAAGAAAATGCATCAGTACTTCAAACTAAACTGAAAATAATACTACCTTCGTCCCGTTTTATGTGCCTCCTTCGATTTTGACACAATTTTTAATAAAGTGATTGGAAAGATAAAAGTTGTGATTGAGATTTGAGTATAGTAAAATGAAAGGGAGGACTATCGAATAAGCCCTCGAACTTAAATAAAAAGGGCAAATCACCCCTTGTATAGGAGGCTCTGTCTGGCCGTCGCCATTTGGGGCGGTTTCCGGTGAAATTTTTTGATGAATTTTTTTGAGCATCTTATTCATCAAGTCTAGTTTACTCATACCAAATTTCAGCTAAACATTCAACCAGGAAGGTAGTCAAATGAATTTTTGAAGATATGCGTAGTTAAACAGCGCAGTATATTTCAGAAAATCATTTGACTGCTTTCCCGTTTGAATTTTTAGCTGAAATTTGGTATGAGTAAACTAGACTTAATGAATAAGATGCTCAAAAAATTTCATCAAAACACTCCACCGGGAACCGCGCCAAATGACGACGGTCGGACAGAACCCTCTATATAAAGGGTGATTTGCACTTTTTACGAAAGTTCAAGGGCTTATTTGATAGTTGTACCTAAAATATAATGTTGTGAACCACATATTTATTTCCAAAAAGAGAAAGATGTGATAACACTTATTTTGGGACAATACAAAAAGGAAAGTAAGACATGTAAAATGAGACGGAAGGACTATCAGTATTAATGTTTGTATAGAACGACTATTTCTGGGGCACTATTGTCATTGAAATGATACATCCTCATAATGATTGTATGGTGACAATTATGGCCGGTACCCTTTTAAAAAATAAGGTATCATATCTATGATTCACTTGATTGGTCCAAATCGTCATATCATTTTTATTTTTATCATATCATGACTATTTGATGTGTTCCATCCTAAAATAAAGTCCTCATTTACATAGTTTAGAGTAAACTTAAATGTTTATCTTCCGTAATACTCCTTAAAATTTGAATTAATACAGTAATATCTTAAAATTTGGTACGTACTACACTGAAGTAATATAGGATTACAAATCAAACGCGGGAAAGTTCCCGAAATATGACTAAAACAGTTTGAAAATTCCAAAATAGGACTCATGTTTTTATTCCCAAAATAGGAGTAATTACTGTCAAGTTTGGATAATACTGCCATGTTTGAAATCTGATACTGCCAAAACATGGCAGTAATTAGTCCTATTTTGGGAATAAAAATATGACAGTCCTATTTTGGAGTTTTCAAACCTTTTTAGTCATATTTTGAGTAATATTCTCATCAAACGCAAAAATTACGAAATATAACAGCTTGGACATAAGTTAATTTTTTTTTATCACGGCTACCGGGCTACATGTTATTATTTTTGAGAACGGTTTTCACAAGAACATTGGCGCATATTAGCCAATCCTTGCAAAATCATTTCCAAAATCAATGTTTAAATCCTTTTTTCACTAAAAAAAGCCGGAAGTTGTGACAAACATTGGTGTCAATTCATGATAGATCCATGTCAAGTCCATTATTTTTTATATTCAATATCATAACAATATTATATGTAAAATAATATCCGTAGAACTAAAATAGAGTTGTGTTGGAGATGAAAGTATTACGTAGTACATTTTGAACCAAAAGCCTATTTAGTAGTGTTAAGGTTAAATTTTTTGGCGTGAAATGATTCTATTTAAAGTTTAGGGAAATAATTACTTTACATGTAAAATAAATTGACATTGTTTGTTTAAATATATAATTATTTCTAAGTTACATGCAAAGTTGTTGCAATGTTTTATAAAAGGTGACAACTACGGTACCTTTCTAAAAACAGGGGTACCGTACCTAGTATTCATTTGATTAGACCACATCACTTTATCAATTTTAATTTAGATTTAAATAATTCAACTACTACCTTTTCATTGATCCATGTGGACAAAGGTATGGTACATTATGGGTATCATAGAAACTACCTTTATAAAATATTGTAGTTCCGATTGTTATTATTAATGTTTGATTTAAGTGGAAGTGCTAGTTGCCCTTATTTGGTAAACACTTCCAGTGCATAATAATATGTATTCAGTGCTAAAACACCTTATCGGGACAAACAAAAGATAAGATGGCATATGTATTAGGTAATAATAGTTTCCTACACTTTCTTATTTGAGATGTATTTAAAAATTTGTTACACTTTCCTTATTTGGTACTCCCTCCGATTGATAAAGAAGTTTCACCTTTCCTTTTCGGACAGTTCCAAAATTAAGTTTCACTTTCAAACCTTTCCTTATTTGACAAATTATCTGCATCAAAATAGTTTCAAACAGTGTCAAACAGTGCCAAACATGGTCTAAACAGTGTCCAAATAGTGTCAAATAGTGCACTCCACAGTAAAGTCAAATTTCTTTTCTTAATATGTGTGAAGTCAAAACCGGAACTTCTTTTAGAATTAGAGGGAGTATGTTTTTTCCTTTAAAAATATCCAATTACCCTTATTTTTTCTGCTTTTTATCTTCTTAATTTTTCCTACTTTTTCATCTTTTCTCTTACTTTTTTACACTATACATTACTCCTACTATTTCCCCTAAATATTGTGCCAAAGTCTAATAGAAGGGAGTATAGTACGTATATTTTCTTTAAAGTCCATCAATCCTAAAAGTGATTCCCAATCTCCAATCGTGGTTAATGGACGCCTTTTTTTTTTTCTTTTCTAAAAGATAGGTTGTATTTTATTCGTACATAATTACACAACTTTTTCAGCACATGCAAAAGTTTTTATGTTGATGTTGAAAATTTTAAAATAGGAAAAGGATAAAATATTACGTCGAGATTTTTTAGATTCACTTTTCCCATAAAATGTGACTGAACTTTATTTTTTCCCAACAAAACTAGCCTCTGTTCATATAATAAGTTTCAGGATCATTACAACAATCAAAGAGAAAACAAAACTGACACTAACTAGACTCCAACAACTATGACTATATGCCCTATGATGAGCCTTAGAAACAGGCACCCCGGAAAGAGCAACACGATTCGCTAACCATGTAACGGGCTTGACACAATCATCCATATTTCCAGATCCAAACATGCTCAATGACATCAAACAAGGCTAAATTCCAAAACAAACTGACAAACCTAACAAGAAACCAAATGACAAAATAATGAAAACTTGTTGGAAAACTTTCACGGGCTCTAGCATCTCGCACAACCCATGGCGGTGGTTCAGGAGGAGGCCGTATCGTTGGTACCACTCTAATTGATCCTTCATTGTCAATCATCATCTCGCCTGCTCGAAATCCGTGCAACTCTCCTTGTATCGCGCTCGTAGCAAATCCACCGCTAGCGGTCATCTTCATCGCTGTCATGCCCTTGCTACCCTGCCAACGAAGAAATCGATCGCCGAACTCTGCTTCAATGTCATCAAGCTTGGGTAATGATTCTTGTCAATCTGCCTCAAATCCAATCCCAGCGTCGAAAACAGGTGAAGGGGATTCACCGACTGGAAGAACCAAACCTTAGATCTGCTAAGTATTGAAGCATTTATCTCACACTGGAAAGCTATAAAACAATTAAACAAAACCAAACCCTAGACCTGCTAAGGAGAGAGACTTCCATGATATCGTTGCTTGAACTAGAAAAATCGGAAAAAGTAGAAGCCTGCACTTAGCCGGCAACACAAACCCTACCCTCTTTTTTTCTATATCTTCCTTTAGAAAGTGTACGACTGAACTTTATTTAATTAAGGGAAAACTATTACTCGTATTAACCCCTGAAGTTATGACATAATTATTAAAGCAACCTTGCATTTTCAAAAATCAATTAATTACCCCATATGTTTTGATCATTTCACTGTTTCCCCCCTCACGTTAATATTTATTAAATTTAATTTAATATAGCTCTTAAATTCAATAAAAATTATCTATACGATTAAATTTTAAAGTAAATCACAATTTAATATCATAATTATAAGTTATTGTTGTTTACCGTTATTTTTCTACTTACCTACTCAATCATGGAATAATGAAAGTAGTTTAGGGAGAAGACTCACGAGTAAGATATAAATATCATGAATTTATATTTTTTATTTTAAAAAATTAAATATCATTGAAGATTATTAAACTAATAAACTTTTTTTGAAGAAGAATTCATCAAAATTAGCATTCGTTAATAAAAAATAAAATAAATCAAAATTTATGATATATATTTTAGTTCTTAGATTGATAAGTTTCAATTATTCAGACCGTTATCGATATATTTTTGCCGTTTTGGTCTCATATTAATACTAGATCAATCTTTTAGGTCGTGGATTGATAAACTTTATGTTTTCTTGCTTATTTGCTACACATGAAAGAAGTGTCATTGAGATTAATTCAGCTGGATGAATTACAAATAAGACTTTTATATTGATGACTAAGGGGTGTCTAGAATTTTGATAACACATATTTCAAACAACTTTCTTTGTTATATCTCATGAATATTACTCAGCTCGGGACTCTTATGCCCTTAACCACTTTGATTAATATTTATTTCACGATCAAGTATCTAGGTACAAAAATAACGATAAAAACAATGACTCATAATTATGAAAATAAATTGTGTTTTTACTTTAAAGATTAATTTCACAGACAATTTTCATTGAATTTAAGAGTTATATTAAATTTAATTTAACAAATATTAACACAAGGGGGCATATAGTGAGAATGATCAAAACTCAGGGGGTAACTAATTGGTTTTTGAAAATGCAAGGTATCGTTGAAAATCTCCATTAGAAAAGGCACTAAAATTTTTCTTAACGGATTTTAGGCTTTGTTTGCAAACAATTAATTTAAGTGCTTTTGGCTTTTTTTAAGAAAAAAACACTTATTTTACCAAACAATACCAACTTTTACTTTCTCGGTTTTCGTGTAGAATCTACTTTTTACTTTTTCTATTACACAAAAAACATTTATTTTACCAAACACTACTAACTTTTACTACCAATCACTTTTTCCCAAAAAGTGCTTTTATTTAAGCACAATCACTTGCAAACAAAGCCTTATTCTAGTTTTTAGTTTTTTTAAATTCACAAGAAAAGCCGCCGATATTTTTTCCACCGGCCGCAATGACATGTTCTACGCGACAGTAACAACTACGACAGCACGTTTTCCCAAACTTATTACTTTGTTAATCGCTTTTTTCAAGTAAACCTTCTTTAATGTATCGGTAGTGGATGACTCCGAATTATTGAATACTATCAATCTAGGACCTAATTTATCATGAAAAATATTTACTTTTATTTTAAAATTTTAAAAATTTATTAAACTAATAAACTTTTGTGAAAAAAAGATCATCAAAAGTTAGAAATGGAATTACTAAGAAATTTAATAAATCAGAACCTATTATATTTTAAGTTCTAGATTGACAGTTTTCAATCACTCAGGCAGGCCCTATACTGACTAACTTCATATTTCTTATTCCATATTGATGATTCATCTATGTTTGAGGTCATTTGAGAACATTGATAGTGGCGGATCTATAGTCATGGGAGGGGGGCAGCTGCCCCCAATACACTTCTACTATGCTAAGGAGTCCACTACAATATACGTAGTAATAATTAATCTATGAATTGCCCCCAATGGAAAGATTACTTTGCCCCCCATAACCTGGAAAGTAAAAACAGGAAGACTACAAGAGGCAATCAAGGAAAGAAGTACATTTGAGAGAATTGAAACCTCAAAACATCGGAGAAAGAATAAAAGTTGAGTATGACTCATCAATCAAATATATTTTAGAGAGAATTCCCTAAATAAGAGTAAAAACATTTTGAAATTTCAAAATAGGAGTATCATGTTTTTTTATTCCCTGAATAGGATTAAATTTCTGCCAAGTTTGGCATTACAAGGCTTTTAACATGACCTTTTTTTCAAACTTGACAGATTACTCCTATGTAGGGAATAAAAAACATGATACTCTTATTTTGGAATTTCAAAACGTTTTTACTCTTATTTAGGGCAATTTCCGTATATTTTATTCTCTTTTATTCTCTAAAATCAAAAATTAGATTTGTCATTCAATTCTCAGCAGCATCCAGTACATTATTCGTGGAAGTAATTTTTTTAGAACGTATATTTTGACATCTACTAAATAAGTTAGTCTATTTTTTCTGAAATTCACAATGTAACAAAAGGACGTAGACTTTGTTTGCAACCACTTGTGCTTAAATAAAAGCACTTTTTGGGAAAAAGTGATTAGTAGTAAAAGTTGGTAGTGTTTGGTAAAACAAGTGCTTTTTGTGTAATAGAAAAAGTAAAAAGTAGATTCTACACGAAAACCGAGATAGTAAAAGTTGGTAGTGTTTGGTAAAATAAGTGTTTTTTTATTAAAAAAAAACCCAAAAGCACTTATCAACAGAGATTGCAAACAGAGCCGTATAATTGCTAGTTTTTAGGTTCACTCTGCAATTTTAGGCCAGTAAAAAATGATTTATTTTGGGATTGAATTAACATTGATTTTAGATGTTAATGTTATATGAGGTCTCTTGTTCATGGATAGGAAGGGTGTTTTTTCGGGTTAGATATTAGGTAGTTCAAAATTCTTAAAAAATACTGTAAAAATTTACAACTCTTTGTGTATTGAAATAATTACCCTTGGCTGTGTTACATACAAGTTCAATTGATTAATTAATTAGATACTCCATACAGTTAGGACATAAATAAATGCTTATAAATGCTTTCCAAACTGCTAATAAAATAAAAATCATGTGTTGAATTGTGAAATAATCTAAATAAGTAAATGTAGGGTTTGACGAATGAGAATGTTTTTACTTGAACTGTAATTTGTTGGTCTGGTCTGTTTAAATGGTCTAGTCTGAACTGTAAATGTCTAGTCTCTGTGTATTTTATAACACTGGTCAGGTCTGTTTAAGTATGATCTGTTCTGGTCCATTTAAGTTTGGTCTACCCTGGTCTGGGACTGAAAGCTGTCTAAGTAAAAATATCCTGCATCAGTCGTGTTTGCTAAAGAGAATTATTTAGCTATTTTCATACTCCGTATAATTTTTTTGAACATATATATATAGTTTATGTAAGTTTTTTTGTTATTCATCTAATTCAAACAATTCAGCTACTTCAGTCAAAATTTTATCAACTTCCATACATTCAATCAATTTTAATGTTGAAAATAGGATTCATATATAGTTTAATTATTACGTAGTAACATTTTTATTTCATATGCTTTACTGATATGCCTCCAATACTTTCTTTTTCTGGATTCGTCACTGGAACATTCCCTTCTCTCAAAATACTCCGCCAATTATATTGTTGACAACTTTCATATATAGTTGAGAAAAGCCTCTAAAACTAAAATATTTTCCTTCCAAAAAAACTAAAATATTTTTTAATTATACTCAGTTCATTGTCGATAACAATAGTATATAATTGGGAAATAGCCTAAAATAAGATATAATGAGTGTAAAATAGGATTATGATCTTTCCTCTTATGCAATATGAGTAATAGTGAGAGGAAATGAAACAATTTCCCTTATTAATTTTTTATAAAACACATATACTTTCACACAACGATATTGAATAAGAATTTCATCATAATGACATTATATTACAAAAGAATTTCATCATAAGAATTTCATCATAATGACATTATATTACGTAGCAGTGTAGTACTATAATGAAGTTATAATGTTATCATCAAGACAAATTACAAAAGTAAATTTAATTGTCACCGTAAAAAAAATGTCAACCTCATAACAAACTTAATATCATCTCCATAGATACTTTGTTGGTCTATTGAATATCAGAAAAATACCAATACTCAATGGCGGATCCAGAAAGTAAGAGCCATGGGGTCCCTACCCTTGTGTACAAGGGCTGAGCGGCCGGAGCCAGACTTGGGTGCAAGGGAGGGCCTGAATATAACACATGTAGAAAATATAACTTAGGGTGGACAAAAATTATCGCAAAATATGATGCCGGTATTGAACTTTCGGTCATAAAGTGTACTTTCTAGTGTACAACTTCTAAAATTGCATAGTTATATTAGTTACAAGACCAAAATTACAAGGTACAAGGGGAAGGCTTATACTCATCAAACATGTGCTTAATTCTATTCCTTTGCATATTTTAGCTGTTGATTCTTTACCCAAAAAGGTTATCAAAGTGCTTAATAATAAAATGGCCTCTTTTTTTTGGGGTTCTTCCCAAGATCAAAAGAAATATCATTGGATAAAATGGAGTGCACTGTGTCTTCCTACTGTTGAAGGGGGGTTAGGGATCAGATCCTTGACAGATATTGAAAAGGCCTCTACCCTTAAATTATGGTGGAAATGGAAAACTGAGGAGTCATTATGGACTCAATTGATAAAAGAAAAATATGCAAGGGGAGGAAACATGGTACCTAAAATCTCTGATTCTCCCATCTGGAGAAGGATTTGTTCTATTGATGATCAGGCTGCTGAGCTATGCTCTGTGGGACCATCCGGACAGTTGGTTTGGAATGAAGAGAATGATGGGCAATTTTCCTTCAAATCTGCAGATGAGGAGGTCAGAGAGCTATCATTTAGTTCTTTTGATTATCAGAACATGTGGAATACTAAGCAGGAATTGAAGATCAAATTGCTTCAATGGAAGATCTCAAAACACATTATACCAACTGCTGACAACCTGGGTAGATTTCACTTAACCTTAAATCCCTC